TGTAAAAGAATAAAGATGACAATATCTTAGAATGAAACAAACAAAAAAAAACTTAATATAGCATGACAGATACCGCACATGATGATAAATGTACAGGAGGAGCCTCCCAAAAAAGGGACTGGTGTAGAAAAAAATCTTATCATAAGTCCCACTTAGCAGTGGATGGGAAAAGAAACAGTAGTGCCACACTCAAGAAATTCCCAAAAGGAAAGAAGCCATGTGTGGAAGGAAAGAATGGAAGATGGCAAACTCCACAATATGGAGAAAAGAAGGAGGAGGTATCCCACAAAAATCCCTAAATATAGGTGGAACACCTAAGATAGGAAGTGGAAGGTAAACATTACCTGTAGGAGAGTAGATAGGGTAAAACGAAACTGAAAAACTAGGTAGGGGAGAAAATGGAAAGGAGTAACAGAGATCTGAAGGACATAAAACCAAAAAGAAAATCTGCCTGATGGAGTAACAGAGATCTGAAGGACATAAAACCAAAAAGAAAATCTGCCTAATGGTACGCTAAGGCAAAAAGAATTAAAGCCTGCATATGGCAAGGCTTGCAAGTATCCAATCTCAAAAGAGACAAAATGATCATAAAGAAACAATGTCAGGAGAAGGTAATATACTATGAAACATGTCTAAAAAACTGAGATAGGTTGAACAGATCCTACAGTAGAGGCCTGGAATGGAGGAAAACTGAAAATCTGGGTTGTCTGAAATGGTGAGTAATATTGGGAGCAGGTAGGGTGGACCCCAGCCCACAGGGGCCCACACAAACGAAATTATGGGTAAGATGTATAAAATATAAATTAAATTAAACGAATGGTATGAAATTAATAGACACTTGTTAAGTCTAAGCTAACAAGATATTTAACGTAATTTGTGATAATCCTCATGTAGAACTACAAGTAAACCAAAAATAACACACGTGTTAAGCCTAATTGAACAGTGCAGGACAAAAGATATCACTAAGCTCTAAAATAAAAATCTTAACCTAACAATAAGTATAAAACAAAAATGAAATAAAAGGGAATTTATAAAATGAATAAGTGGGTATGAACAATAACCTATGTATAAGAAGTGATGTATGAAAGAAAAACAATATAGTTGAACGGATGATTGATGTTCCAGTCAGATGAATTACAGGTAATCCTAAAATAACAAGGACCCCTAGTATCAGTGGTATAGAAGAAAGGATACAACTAAGCCTAACAAAACTTCTATTATAAAACTCAAATAACTACATATAATAATATTAAAAGTATTCAAAAACCATTATTATTATTCCAAAATCAGAGGACTGTATGTCTTAATGTGTGGGCCCCCAAACTCAAGGCAAGGCCCAATGAATATCAGCTCCGTGGACGATCAATCTCCCGATGAAGTAAAGCTGAAAGTCTTCCCATGGTGTAACAAGACCTGAAGCCAGTGTAAATGTGCAAATAGGACACACAACCTTCAAAGCAGTAGAATGTAAAATTAATAACCAAACACTACTGTGTTGGCAGAAACAAAGAAAAGTTTTTGTAATGAAGTAATAAGTTCTGTAACCAGTCAGTAATATAAAATAATTCCACTTCAGAATAACTCAACAAATGTCACTATTGTATAATAAAGAGTAAACTTGTTGAAAGAAATTAATACAAAGATATGGAAAAAAATTAAAATAAAACATTTGAAGAGAGCACAAACTAAATGTTAGAACATGAATACTGCCAAACGAGAAGTAATACTTTGATAGAATTGAATAGAGGGAGTCACATGCATCAAGAGAGTATGTTGCACTTTTATTGGTGGAGGGTTGTCTCTTATGACTATTTGCATGTGAGACGCAATGGAATCAGTCAATTCCAAATGTAAGAAATTTAAAGGCTTGTGGTATGCACAAATTTGTTTTTCATATAGAGGGCAGCACTGAACAAGAATAGCTAATGTACTGTATCGGAAACAAGTAAGGTCACAGACTGAGCCATTCGTCTCATCAATCATCACCCTAATCCCAAAAATAATGAACATCTTTTAGATATACATGACTGTTTCAATTTAAGTTTAATGCATGTGTTATGATTTAGATGGTTTATATAGTAAGAGTGATAAACCTAGTTATTTTTAGAAGCTTTTGTTTATGGCAAGTTTGTTTACATAACTGTTCACAAGTCCTATGTTGTATAGTCCACTACTTATGATATTGATGATTGTTATATATTGTGTAAAGATTAGTATACTCTAATCTCTTATAGTGATGGCACACGACGAGACACACATTCAGCATGTAATGCTGTTTGAATACAAGAAGGGAAACAACACCTCTGTAGCCACAAAGAATATCAAAGAAGTTTATGGAAATGTTTTAAACATTCGTAAGTGACAACGATGGTTCAGCAAATTTAATTTAGGTGACTATAGCCTTAAAACCTGTGATGGTAGAGGCCAACATGTTGGAATTGATACTGATGCTCTGAAGATGCTTGTTGAGTCTAACCCAAGGCAACACACTCGTGAAATGGCCCTGAAATTCAATGTCTCTCATGAAACAATGTGCAAGCATCTAAGGAATTTGGGAAACTCCATAAAGAAGGTGTTTGGATGCCTCCCAAACTCTCTAATGATCATCATTTCCAACGTGCAAATGTTGCTTTGTCTTTTCTGCTGCATAATGCGCGTGAACCATTTTTAGACAAAATTGTCACCGATGATGAAAAATGGATTCTCTATGCAAATATTAAATGCCAAAAACAATGGCTCAGTCCTAAACAAAAACCACTTCCGACCCCAAACCTGGACCTCATCCACAGAAAATGATGCTTTGTATTTGGTGGGACATCAAAGGAGTAATTCATTTTGAACTTCTCAATCCACAGTGAACTGTCAATGCAGAGATCTATAGTCAGCAACTGGAATGATTAAATCAAGCCCTTCATCAGAAACGCCCTTCACTCATCAATCGGAAAGGTGTTCTTCTCCTACACAACAATGCATGTCCACATGTAACACATTTGACGCAACAGAAGATTATGGAGTTGAGTTGGGAAATTCTCTCCCACCCACCATATTCTACAGATATGGCACCATCAGATTACCATTTTTTTTGTTCGCTGCAACACCATCTTAATGGGAAAACGTATGCAAATGTGGAAGGTGTTAAAGAGGACATCGACTTGTTTTTTCCTTCAAAACCAAGTGATTTCTTAATCAGGGCATTAACAACCTGATTGAAAGATGGAAAAGCATCATCGATAAGAATGGAGACTATTATATTTAATAAATATTTTGTTTTGATATACAAATTGTTCTGGTTTTTTCATCTAAAAATAAGCGACATTGATCTCTTGATGACCTAATACATTCTACAGCATTTAGGGGTCTGGCATAGACTGGTGATTATTGTGCTCGACTCACAATCTGAGGATCGTAGGTTCGAATCCCGTCACCGAATATACACGCCCTTTCAGCCATGGGGAGGTTATAATGGACGTGAATCCCACTATTTGTTATTAAAATGGTGGTCCAAAAGTTAGTGATGGATGGTGTTGCCTTCCTCTAGTCTGTCACTTCAATATTTGGGACGGCTAGTGCAGATAGCCTGTGTGTAGTGCAGATAGACTGTTTTTATTTAGTAAATGTTTTGTTTTGATATAAAAGTTGTTCGGGTTTTTTCATCTAAAAAAAGCAACATTAATTTCTTGATGACCTAATACAACAAAAAAATGTAAAATTGTTCAGAAAGGACAATCTTGAAGGCAAAGATGATATCATCACAGGTTTAACAACCGGCTTCCATCACTGTCACAATGCAATGTAATAAAAGATGAGCAGCAAGAAAGCAATCTCATCAGAACAAAATAATGTTTTTAATAAGATGATAGAACACAGATTAATGCAATATAAGTAGATGCAGTAACATGCTTACTTTGTTAGCTCTACATGACACAAGTGTTTGTGTTTGAATAAGGTGACACAAGTAATGCATGCAAAAACACTACAGTGACACATTTAGCATAAGCAGCTAATTATTGAAAACATTTACAACCTCTATCTTGTCATCAATTATTTCAAAATAGCAACAGCTACATTATATAGTATATTCTGCAGTGGTAATAAATACTGAATGCACGATCACAATTTCAGCTAAGTATAAGAAACAGTTGAAAGAATCACTACCACTATCTGAGTATGGAAATTTACTATGGTAATCGTCCACTGTTAAAAACTTGGTGAAATAAAGTCATGGAAATCCACATAGAGACAATAGACTCAAATAACAATAAACAATAGCAAGTCAAGTAATTATATGGAAAAGAAAAATCAGAAACATTTCACATGGCAGCTTCTAATTAATGCACTTGAAAATGCATGAGTTGTGGTTTCCAACTAACATGCATGCCAGAAAAACACCAGATTTTTTGATGGCAGAAAGTGAAGGCCTTAGAAAATTTTGCTACATGACAAAATTAAGTAAGTCAAATTAAGTTTAAAAGTACTCTCTCAGTTATTTGCAAAACTCCTGTGCGATCCCACACTACAGTATTTATCACTTGCAATAATTTTATAGTGAAGTTATAATAGGGATTTGAAGCTTAAGCAAACTGTCAGCAGTAGATCTCAAGCCTTGTTTGCTAACATTTTTGTGATCCCTATTTGTAGATTTTAAATTCTCCATTTTTAATTATCTTGTATGTTGGCTTTTTTAATGCACAGCAATGTTCAAATATAAGCCTAGTGTAAGATACATATACAATTTTATCAGTAGAAATGCAGACTTTTCAAATAAAACAAATGTGTCTAAAACATTGCTTTAAATAAAGTTTTGTGTATTTTAATGTAATTATTTACTGATCCAGGTGGCTTTGTGCCTGAGGTTTCATGTACATGAGTACAAAAGCAGTCGCTCAGAATATCACTGCATCTATTATGAAATTATTACCACATAAAGGAACTTTCAGTGAAAAATAATCAACTTTTAAATAGGTCATGAACATATGCAACACTTCATATTATATATCTGTGTAGGTTTTAGTGCAAAATACCCAGCCATTTTGCTATAGGCTGTTGGAACAATAATATTAATAATAATGATATGAACAAATGGGCAAATTTTGATATTGATTAAAATCATAAAATCATTTATTTTGCTTATTATTAATGATTGGGTGGTTTTAACAATTGAGAAGGAACATTTTGAGCATTGCGTTTTAGAATAAGTCTGCTTTTTTAAGGTGGTTTTTGACCAAGTATTTAATTACAGTTTTGAGCAAATTCCTGTACGATCCCTATTATGAACCATGATCATATTAGTTTTGATATCATTGTTAGTAATGTGTATGCCTTGTATTGGTAATAATACAATATTAAAAGCCTAATCATCTGTCAGTGGTCAGAATATATAGATAAAATTAAAAAGAAACAATGGTACAGAATAATCCTGACTAAGTTATACTTACAATGTTATATTTATACTTTAATCTACAGCTTATATTTACAAGTTATACTTATAATAATAAGTACGCAGTCTTAAGATTCTTACTAATAGTAGTACTAGTAGTAACACGGGCTAAGTAACAAATATTGAGAAAGAAACAAACAAACCAATTCCATTTTAAACGTCACAACCAGCTTAGGTGGTTCCATATGCAATTTTGCTTGCTTAAGTTGATGTTCAATACATTTTCGATATAATAAAGGATCATTTTCTACTAAGTTATCTAACATCATCCAAATTTTCTGTGCCATAGTTACATCAGACGTTTTCTTCCGCTCCATATTGTGGTTCATCTCACGTATAAAACGAAATAGAGACGAAAAATAATAAACATATCGAACATTAAAATATTTAACTTACTCTACAACTTTATGTTTTTATAAACTTTACAATATTCTACTTTACAAAAATGGTTGTAAAATATACTTACTTGACAAACATAAAATGTTCTATACTTTCGTTATTTTATCACCTTTTCTTTAATCTAAACATGGCGCTTTCCTTAGGTGAGATTGATCACGTTTTCTATATTAAAGTTAACTTCTCGATTTTTGGACGTATTTAAAATTTTGTGTAACTTATAATTAGTAACAGTTTTTATACTTTATTACAACATTTTTTTATTACTTCGATAATTTTAAAATAACCTTATAAGTTGTTATTAATTGTAGACTCAAGATAACATTCGTAATTAAACTTAAAGGTACTAACTTAATAGTACTAGTGCTAAAGTAAACCTGAGTACTTATGAGTATGACATTGACAGTATGAGTATTACCATATTGTTGATGATATAGTATTAATAGTTGGCGTAGCACTACTACAATACAAATTTTATTGCTGTTACTATTAGCTTAGTAATAGTATTATCACTTATAAGTTGTATGAAACTTGGGGCACACTTGACTGCTAGAACTAAATTAGTATTAATAACACATTAAAAACCATTACAATGCATATACGTTATTCATATTTGCTACAGCTACTAGTATCAAGTGATCGCTAACATTGTCATTTTGTTGACAAATTACATGAAATAATGGAGTTAGTCAGGTGAGCTAAATTAAATTGTTCATGCCTGTGTCACTAGCTGTAGCAGTGACTACCACAGGTCGGTTGAAATAGTAATTCATTGGCTTACAATAGCAACAACCTTTAAGATAATGGGTTTGGGATTTTGTGCATATTTATCCAAAATTCTTTTGACCGATGTAGAGATGAAAAAGTGTTTGCTCAACAGTTTAAATTAAGAAGCCTTAAAGTGTTTATTGCCAGTTCTAGAAATCCTAACAATGACTTGTGTTAAAAAAAGTGCAAATAATTAGTAGGGCTAATTTGTTTTTTTTCTTATGACTATTATATTTTGGTAAAATTCTTTATATATATATATATATATATTTTAATATAATGAATTTTGGCTTTTGTGCATATTTACCCCAAATTCTTTTGACTGATGTAGAGATGAAAAAGTGTTTGCCCAACTAGCACAAGTTAACTTAAGAAGCCTTATAGTGTTTATTGCCAATTCTAGAAATCCTGACAATGCTTTGTGTTAAAAAAAAGCATGAATAATTAGTAGGACTAGAATACTTAGGGGATAGTGATGGATTTATTGATTTGTTTTCTGTTTATTTAGGAGGTTGTGAATAGAATATTCTTTGCGAGTCAAAGGGTCCCTTGATATCTCATAACTTATTTATTATGGATGATGTTTTAATGTACATAAATTATAAATAGCTGAGATTAATATATTTTGATGAAACTTTAGTGGTATAACATAAAAATAAATAAATTATATGTTATTACAAAATGGAGGAAAACAAAGACAATTGTATATTTCTGATACAGTACTTACCTCTATATGTGAACTTTTCTATATGCATCCCAAAAGCTTTATGCTTCCCCCATGTTGGAATTACTGTATTCCAACATGTCTCTGATGCAAATCATCATGTGTCATCTCTTAACCAATGGTAGCATGATATGCTCACGTGACGTATGTGACTCGTTCTACACTCCGCTCACTGAACTTTCATGTCACATTTGGCCATGTTTGAGTTTGGACGTCTTCTTTTGTGTGCTTTCTTTTTCTCACATGAAGTGGTTCCATTTTGAGTTTATTTTTATTTAATTTATATCAGTTCATTCTTGTTGCTATATTTCTGCATTTGCCAATTTGTGAATATTTTCTTGAGTTATGAATTCCTAAGTTCACGTTACCACTTTGGGGGGCACACCAATGACCAGTGTTTTTTCTCAGGCCTCAGGTGTGGGCGACCAACAGTGGTTCTCTCTGCTTTTATACATTGAGAGATTGAATGCTACATGGGTCAACCTTTGTCCCCTGACATCGCTCCAGGGTCCTCCTGAGTCGGCTGAAATTGTTCAGGATGATAAGCATTTTTATCATCTTTTCTCACCTCCAGAGTTTGCCATTGCTTTCCAATTGCAACCTGAGGATTTACTTAGGCCAAAATCAGTCTGCACAGATTTCATGTCTCAGGTTTGTGAAGTTTTATCCCTTTCCCCTATCTCTTATCCACCTCATCCTTCCGTGTTACTTGAAACATCTTCTCAACTATATTTGGTATTTCCTCCCTCTCCAGATATTTGGGTACATTCTGATCAATTTGACTCATAATTAACTGATGGGATTAGCATGCCACAACCCCGAGAACTTCTGATCAGTATGCACTTTGTTACCTTTGGGCAGACTATCCATTTTTGGATCAACAGCTTAGGGTTCATTGTTAGCTATTAATGTTAATCTTACCCATGCCCAATATTCTCACCTTCGTTTTACCCTAACTGACCTTCTATGTTATCTTTCTTTCATACATATCCTATTGGAGGCTCTCCACAGAAATCCTGAGGGGTTTTCTGCAGATACCCTTAACCTTCTCTCCTCCATATTAGCCTGCATTTCATTTTCAGCTATGGCATTAAATACATGGTATCTTTGTTGTTGGGATCTTATAGGTAGGGATGCAGTATTGGCTCGGGTCAATTTACTCTCAACATATCTCAGGGACTTGTGTCTTGCTCCTTTTATGAGATGCTATGTCTTTGATACAATCTCAGAAACCATCGAGCCTCGGGTGATTTCAGCCCATCAGCAATCCACCCTTACGACCTTTGTAGCCTGTTTGTCTTGGTCAGAGCCTCACATGTCACCTATTCCTGTTTCCTGTCCTTCATCCTCTCAACCCTTACCTGTTCCTTCTAATCGGGGATACTCCTTTTCATTGCTTTCCTCAATGACGTAACATCCGTCACCATCAGTACTGTTGACTACCCTGTGGGTTCGGGTCTAGTAGGAGTTCGACTGTTGAAGTTTTTTCCTCATTGGCATCCATTCGTCGATGATAAATGGAGGATATGGTTTCTGTCAGAAGGATTAGTTATCCAATTTCTTTCCCCACCTCCTGTTTCTCCTTTCCTTTCCTCCTCCTCAAGATCCCATGGCCTGCCAGCATCTGTCAAAGGTGGTTCGAGATTTGCTTATGCATTGGGCAATCAAACTGGTCCACCATTCTTCTGGGGCAGTGATCATTTTCCTATCATTATGAGTCGATGCCACCCAACCCGAGTGCCACGATGGAAGTTGGACCAGGCTGACTGGCTGTCTTTCACCCCTCTCTCTGAACTTGATCCTGCCTTTGTCCATCTGCCATCAATAGACGATTGTGTGGTTACAGTGACTGACTGTATCGTCCAGGCAGCTGCTCATTTTATTCCTAAGAACTCGACACGTTTTCCACAGTATCCTCGTCCATGGTGGAGTCCTGCCTGCCAGGAGGCACGGAAGGCTCAAAAATGGGCCTGGGATACCTTCCAACGGTATCCCTCTCTTTCTAACCACATTGTTTATCAGCGGGCCCGTGCCCATGCTCAGCATTTTCGACATCAAAGCCAAAAGGAGTCTTGGATTAAGTTCACTACTAGCATTCTCTTCTACCACCAGTTAGAAAACTGTATGGGACAAGTTTCAGAAAGTCACTGGGAGGTATGCATCCCATCCCCTTTCCATCTTGCTCTCCAATAGCCAGGAAGTTGCCGATGCTACAGCTTTTCTCATGCTTCTAGCACTTCTGTTTCTTCC